TTGGCCAGATTGGGTTTTGTGTAGCAGACTTCTCTGGTAATCCTACACTCTCCTGGCAGCCATGCAGCTCCCTTTTCCATCCCTCCTTAACATTTAAGGTGGTGCTTGTTAAGGCAGAAACCCTCCCCTTCCACTTTCAGGACAGCCAGAAGAACTGGTATATTTTCTTTTCTTTTGAATGTGAATCAATTCAATCCACTGTCTCAAAGCTTTAGTCAACACAAAGAAAGAAACGATGCTGCCCTCTGGGAAAGTCCCCACCTTTTAAAAAACACTTAGAAGGCACCAAGGAAGGGGCTATGGCACTCATGGGCATCAGGATGGAGACCCCTGCTAATACTTTTGTTATCTTAACTGTTTCATGATATGCTTTTAAGTAAATTTCCCTTTGATTTTCAGTTAATGCCATATAGGTAAAGGTAAAGGTTTCCCTTGCTCAAAAGCCAGTTGAGTCCGACTCTAGGATTGCGGTGCTCATCTCCGTTTCAAAGCGGAAAAGCCAGCGCTGTCCGAAGACGTTTCCGTGGCCGGCATGACTAAACACCAAGGCGCACGGAACGCTGTTATAATGCCATATATCCTTGTGCTAATGTGTCAGTTTTCTGCCGGTACATACTTCTTCTGCATGGGTATGGATTTGCTTCTACTATAACATTTTTGAGAAACAAACACACACAACCTTATTTGCCTTCTTTCACTCCTTCTTTCTATGAGATGCTGTTTCCCAAGGAATACTCACAACGGCTTTTAATTAGGAATGATAAAAGAGCTAACTGAAGATGAAAAGTAGAAGACAATTTTTTTTTAAAAAAAATGAACATATATCTGAGTCAACATTATTCTTGGTTATCTTGTTCTTTCTTACTTTTCACAGTACCTCTCTCTTATTTTGTGTGGTTAGGTGTGATGTAGTTTTAAATTTCTTGTTTCTTTCTCTCACTCAAAGTATCTATTGCTGTCACCAGAAATTTAATTCCAGTCTTTAATTAACCTTTCCCACAGTATTGTGCCCAAGCTGTAAGGCTCCTTCGTTGGACTATGTGGTTCTGAGGATAAGACTCTGGGTTAACAATAAACAAGATAAAACTGTATTGGTAAAGGAAGCAAATTGGTTACAAGATGTTTAGTTAAGTTGCTTAGTAAAATCTTTCCCCTTTTACTCAAGTCTCTGTCAGCTTTTCCCCTCACACTCTTAAAATACTCTGATAATATTAGATTTTGCCTAATATGCCCCCCTCAAGTATGTTTTCTTCCTCCTTTAGAATCTTAATGCCTTTCACAGCACTTATATATGATTCTAATGAGATTGACCACAACTGACAGCTGCTGATTTTAAACTTCAAAACTGAACACTCTGCCTTCTCTCTCTCTCTCTCTCTCCACACACACACACACACTTATTAGCTCCGCCCACACACTCTCAGTCACCAACCAATCATCTCACTCACTCATCTCCCTCTTGCACCCCCATTGTTCTACTGACACTTACCAACCATTTAAAGAAACACACACATATAATTTAAAATCATTACATTACTGTATTCTACTTTCTACTTTTTCTAACTTTTCTACTTTTTCTACTTTTGTAATTCTATTTTTGCATTGTTTAAATCATGTTTGATACTCCTTTTTTGGATTTTATTCTTTTTCTTTTTACTGTATTGTTTATTGGATGTCTCATGTTATTTGATTGTACTGTTTTACACTGTCTAATCTGCCTTGAGCCTCAGCGAGAAAGGTGGACTATAAATAAACAAATAAAGATTTACTGATGCAAGAAACACAAACACCAATTTAAGCATCACTTTGGGAAACATCCTGTGTATTATTCCTTAAAAATCCCTGCTGTTCAGGTGGATTAACAAAAAGGAATTAGACACATACTTTGTCAAGTGCCACACCAGCTTTAAAAATCTCAGTGCCCTGTCTTTGCACAGGTAGTAAATCTAACAGGATACCAGGCAATTTCTATTGCTAAACCAACCTGACGTTGACTTGTTTGCTAGGCAGAGGCAAGGAACCTCTGCAAAGCTCCAGTTTTATTCATTCTTTCATTTGAACATACTCCTTCAAAATTTGCTGCAGAAAATTAGGAACAAGTGTTCAGACTCTCATGTAATTTTCACATTTATATTCCTTTTCTGGACCAAAGTAGTGTGGCATTCCTACAAACTGAATGGTTAAATATTGTCATTTGATCACCTATTGACTGCAGTCAAATATTGTGAAAGATGTTCTGAAGCCAATATACCACAGTGCAAGTGGCTGATTTCCTTTTAAAGTTTGATTATGGTAGCTTGCATCCTACAAGATCTACTAGTGTAATAGACCTCATGGACTTTTCACTTCTGCCTCTCACTGTGGCTTACTGACCCCCCATTTTGTTTCTGGGAAATTGTGGACCCATAAGAGCAGCATAGGAGGAAAAGTGATGGGAAGGGAAAATAGGTGGAAATCACCCCCCCTTCCAAAGATGGGAATTACTCTTTTATCTTCAGGACCAATAGCAGGATACAAGTTGGAGTCATTTATTAGCAAGGATAAGAGCAAGGGATTCTTGCCCTCTAGTCCTGCAACAGTCAGGGCAGATTTAACAGCACAGCAAAGCTTTATGGGTAGCCAACCTTAGACCACAGCCTCTCTCTGACATACACTGGAAGATGAAAGTAATACCTAAAACACTTCATAAGCAGGTTCAAGGTTTTAGCCTTGACCTCTAAGGCCTGAAATGGTCACGGACCAATGTACCTTTTTGGCCATGGCTCCAACTTGGTGGATCTCTCTGCCTACTAACATCAGGGCCCTGAGGGACTTGTTACAATTTTGCAGAGTCAGCAATGGAGAGATGTTCCACCAAGCATATGACTGAAGACAGCAGTGGTTTTTAAGAGTTTTAATGATTTTTAACAGCTATTCAGCTCATTAACACCGCCTTTCGCCCCCTCCCCCCCCGCAATTGTAATCTGGGGGGGGGTTTTTCCAGAAATTTATATTTGGCGCCATGTAGATATTATGTTTTTATGGATTAGGATTTGGTGGAACATGCTCCCAGTGGAGATTAGGGCCCTGCGGGATCTTCTTCAATTCCGCAGGGCCTGTAAGACGGAGCTGTTCTGCCAGGCCTTCGGTTGAGGCAGCAGACGTCTCTATATGGCCTCCCTGAGGTGGTTGTCCCCCATGTGCTTATCAACCCAAATAATATGCTAGGGAACCTGCAGCCAGCTAATTTGATAGAAGTGTGACTGTGTTTCAATGTTTATTAATTTTAAATTGTTTACATTGTTTAATTTTAATTGTATTTATTGTGTGTTTTATTATGTTACCCGCACTGAGCCCGCTCGCGGGATGGGCGGGCTATAAATACAAATAATAAATAAATAAATAAAAACAATAGACTGCTTAATTATTTTATATAGTTATATGAATTTGTTGAGTACTGCCCTGAGCCCGCAATATTTAAACTTTTGTTGTTGTTGCAATTAACTACCATTAAGGACATTTTTGCTTTCTAGGAGAATTAATGCTAGATTTTGAGAATACAATGCCTAGCCTTTCTAATAAATTATGATTTTTTAATTTACTTCATTTATACTCCATCTGTTTCACCAACAGTGACCCAAAGCAAAACAAAACATACATAGTTCTCCTTTTCTCTATTTTATCCTCACAACAATCCCATGAGGTAGATTAGGCTGAGAGTGTGTGACTGGCCCCAGGTCACCTAGCAATCTTCCATGGCAGAATGGGGATTTGAACCTGGGTTCCCAGATCCTAGTCTGATGCTCTAACAAATATACTGTGCTATTATGATAGAAGAAGAGGAGGAGGAGGAGATAGGACTTATACCCCGCCCTTCACTCAGAGTCTCAGAGTGGCTTAAAAACTCCTTTCCCTCCCCCTCCCCACAACAGATGCCCTGTGAGGTACGTGCGGCTGAGAGAGCTCTTTCCAGAACTGTACTTGAGAGAACAGCTCTGACAGAACTATGGCTTGCACCCAATGAGAACTATTAACTGATTTATCCATAAGTAATGACTAATGAATTTTTTATGGATAAATTACTGCCACATACTTCATGAGACTCTATATTATATGTTAAAATGTATTGGAATATAAAAATCTGTAAAATCCAAATAAAAATAATATTTAAAATAAATAAATTAATAATAATAATAATAATAATAATAATAATAATAATAATAATAATAATAATAATAATAATAATAATAATAATAATAATAATAATAATAATAATAATAATAATAATAATAATAATAATAATAATAATAATAATAATAATAAAGATAAAGATAAATTACTGCCATATACTTCCTGATACCCAGGGCTTTTTTTGCAGAAAAAGCCCAGCAGGCCATACCCAACAACTGAAATCTATTAGCATATCAGGCCACACCCCTGAAAGCTCAGTGTATTAGCATATTAGGCCACACCCCCATGCCTTCCCTTGGCTTGCCCAGGCAAGCCCCCCCTTGAAGGGATTTTTAAACTGCCTTCCCTTGGCTTGCCCGGGCACCCCATGGCTGTGGGGAGCTCAGGCAAGCCACATTCCTGCCCAAAAATACCCCTGTTGATACCCATTTCTACATTTGTTATTCTGGAAGTATATGGAGTTGTATTGAAATACTTTTCTGGATCATGAAAATATATATTTAGAGCAAAATATGGGTGTGCTATTTAATTAAGGTTTACCTTTAAAGTGGACAACAGATAACATTTTTGAAGTGTATTAGGAGAAATTTACTGTTCCAACTCATTTAAAACATTATGAATTACTATGATTTAGTAGTAGCTGCTGAAAGCAACTGAATTTATTTACATGAAATTAAAATGTAATCTTCAAATTAATTTGTTAATGAAGAAATACAGATACAGTAAAAATAATTTTGAAATTCAATCATGGCAAATTTTGCTTATTAATTAGTCATCAACTACTTTTCCCCCCAAGTGCCATCTACAAATAGCAATTGAACTAGACCTACCTGGATAAGGTGAGATGGAATGGTGATGATGCAGGCAGACAAAGAAGTTCTGAGGAGGCCACGGAGAACATACAGAAATCTTGTGAGGCTATGAATATTTTGTGGATTCTCATTGCAACAAATATCATCACCCCATAGTACTGAACCAAGACTCTGAATTCCAATCCTCAAAATGTTTCTTTGCGCTTTCTATCATATATGAGAAAAATAAAAGTAATTAGTGGAATCTGAATTAAAGGCAAGAAGCAGATCTCTGAAACTCGAGGGTATCCTTTCATAATATGAAGGGGTAAAGAGGAAGAACACCATGAGTGAGGAACAAAACCCGAAATCAAACACAAGCGGTGCTCTTAGGATTCTCATGACTCTTCCAGTGCTAAATGAAAGAATGTCTCAGGGGCTTCTGTGCTATGGCTGAACCATCTGGAGCATCCTCTAATTGCCCCTAAAACTGAGTAGGAGCTTCTTTGACTAATATGCATGAGACGGAGTGGTGACACTATATATATTGAGAAGATCCCAAACAGCATGGCTAGGAGAACCAGCTTCCGCTTGATTGAAGAATTTGGTAATAGCTTCCATAGAAGACATAAATAATAAGACTTATGTTGCACATATTATGCATCTTTTGAAACAACTTTATGTCATTCAAATTATCAATCAACAAAATGATCTTCAACTTGCATTTGCAGATTAGACTGGTCAAGTGTACATTATGAAAATAATTGAGAGCTTTTTTCTGCCCACTTTTTAAACAATATGTTTCTTAATTATATTGAAATAGCTTTCTCATGAACAAACGAAATGACAGGAAAATCATGAATTGCATTTCACTGTGTTTTGAAAGGCAAATAGGAACCAGGGGTGACACAAAATGTTAAAACTTCACAATTAGCATCATACAGTTGTGAGGTATGTTCCTAATTGCTGCCTGACTTGTGATTGCAAGTAGGTAGAGTTGTCAAGAGGCCTGCAGGGGAAAAAAAAGTCCTGTCCCTTTAATAGAGGCTTAATGTGTGGACATGAGCAGCAGAAGGACTGAACACATGATTAACCAACTATCAGTTTTGATAGCAGCTGTCAGCTATCTAATATGAGGGGGAACTGAACTCAGGTATCCCCTTCCTGTATCGTTTTAATAGGTAATTGGGGTTGTATAAGAATCTTTGGATTGGGGCCCTCAGATAGATTTATTTTAATTAAAGAGAAGGAAGAGTGTTATTAGTATTTCACTTCTCTGCTTTTAAAACAACAAATAAAATAAACTACATAAGTTTTTCCTCATGCCTTAAAAATGGTTTCAACCATTTGTTGGTTCTAGTAAAATAAAAATATCAGGGATCTGTTTTTGGTGCTATTTTTTTATCTTTTATCCAGTGTGTAAGACTATAAACCATTATTTTAAACTCTTTCCAGTAACAGGTTATCTGCTGTTTGCTCCCAGGGTTTTCATGTCACTTTGATGCTGCTGTTTCCTCTATTCTGTATGATTCCTGCTTCCAAAAGGACCTGTCATCATGTTGGAGGAGCAGCTCAACATACTGTACTGGAGAAACTGTTATGACATGTCTGTTGCTATAGTTACCATAGCAGAGGTGCCTGTCAGGGACCAATTTACCACTGAGGGGAAAACAGGCTTGCCCATAAAGCTCAGCATACATTGGAAAACTAAATTAACCAGGTGAATTATGCTTCATAAACATTCATAAAATGATCTAGAATGAAAAAGCATTAAAGAAAATCAATTTTACAGAGGTAAAGATAATCAAAGATTCCAGTGCTCAAAGTGCTGCTTTAGGTGTTAATATTTTGGGCATAGTAAAATATCTGCGAGGATTCATTCTTGGGCTTGGCAAGGGTAAATTTAACAGATCATAACTAACAGATCATGACTGTAAAATAGCTATAAATTAAATATTAAGCATTTAATACTTTTATTTAGGTAACCTAAGGGCTCCCTCACTAACTGTACTACAATAACAGGCTAGGCACTGTTCTATTTAAAATATACTTGCCTCTAGATTTACATGACTGATTGTTCATGAACAGTTGCCTGAGTGAAAGCTGCAAAGAAATTTAAAAGCATGACCAGGATTCTGAAGGGCCTCCACAACAGCAATGGACTACAGCTGGAGGGAATACTGGTGAGCCACCTCACCTTATTCTGCATTTCACACATATACACACACCTCTTTGGGCCTTGGATGACATATAGGAAAAGTTAAAGTATGATCCAGTCAGTCCCCTAAACACCTCATTAAACATATGCAGCTCTCCAAGAGTGAGAGTGTTGCTAAGGAGAAAGTGGAGATGAGTGGCAACAAATTCCAACAAATGGAGAATATAGCTCCTTGCCTACAGGGCTGTGGTACTGTGCTTTGTGTCAGTCCCAATTTTAAATAAGGCACGCAAGCACTATTGGCTCTTGATGAGCCCTTTGCTTCCGTGTGTGGAGCAGCCAACCAGAAAGGTGCTGGATAAGCTATTGTTATCTGCCCTGCTCTCTGCAACAGGCTTTTGCTGCAAGTTGGCCCACCTGCCCTCCATGCTGATAATGTGGAAGTAGACAGTTACATTTTGAGGGGCTGAGCAGGAATCCCCCCCCCCAATATTGGCTGAGAAGGGAGCCTTTTTTCACCTGTTCCATGGTGATCTAGGGAATGATGGTATTCTCTAATTAGGCCTGGTCTTTTGACTGGTTTCAGACAAAGAATCAAAGACATGGACTGAATGCAACCTCCCAGAGACCATGCTGTAACTCTACATCTCAGCACCAAAGTGAAGAAACTAATTGCCTGCTGGCATCTCACAAAGGACCAGACCTGTAGGAACCTTAAGAACAAAGTCCAAGAATTCTCCATTCTATCCTTCTAAATTTTGTAACATTTATCTGATGATCAGCTCTGGTGAGATCAAGACCTCGCAATGTTTTCGGCCCGTTTGATTGATCCTAATAAAAGGTATTATTCAAATTTTGTTCTTGCTTCTGGATTTTGTATGGACTAGTATGTACAACTTTTTATTTTATTTTCTGGTATTTTTACATTTGTGTGTGTGTGTGTCCCTGTACCAGGAAGTCATGGCGACCTCTGGCAACTCCTACTGGGGCACAGGGGACATTCAGAAAAGTGGCTAGATAGCCTGCCTCTGGCCTCCTGGCCCTGGTATTCTCTGGAGGTCTCCCATCTAAGTACTTGCCAGGGTCGACCCTGCTTAGCTGCTGAGATCTGACGCGATTGGGCTTGCCTGGGCTATCCAGGTCAGGGCCACTTTGTACAACTTTTTTGAGTTGCTACAGTATAGGTAGGGATAGTTGTCAAGCACCTTGAGCCATCTAAGGAGGGGGGCTGTTCCCAAGCTGGCCCCCTCAAGCAACCTGCTGGACTGGGGAGGGAAAACCCTTGGTGGTTAAGCAGCATCAACTGAATCCTTAGGTGCTGGAGCAGCATATGGGGGTGACGCTTAATACCACTAGGCACTATTTTACATGCAGATTAGGATAAACAAAGTAAGCAATAGTACTAGCTAAGTGTGGAGCCAGAGTAGGCTTGCCCAAGATTCTGGTAGCCACAGTGTGCTGCTTGTTAACAGTAACTCACACTATTTCAGGGATGTTTAATTGATGTAGATCCGCCATTAACAAACTACTTAATCTGGTGTGTCACGTGATTATTTGGGGGTACTGGTACAATGCAGTGTGGGACTGGATGTCATTAGCTTTATTATTTTGAAACCACAATATCAAAAGTAATAAACATCAACATTTTTCAAAACCAGCCTCAAACTCCAGGTTCTACTCATATGTGTGTGTTTTAATATCTAAAAGATTACTAATGGATTAATACAATGGGTGTTATTTGCAGAGACCAAACAATTGGTTAATATCTAAAAATCTTTAAATGCCTTGTTTAATCGCAAACATTGTTGAGATTACTTGTTTATTTCATCAGTGCTTGCAAACCGAGTTAATAGTAGATATTTTAAAGTGTTTCAGAGGTACCCTTCAAAAATTGTAGGTACATACTTGTAGAAGACACATAAAATGCTTAATACCTGAGGAATGGAGCCATCAAATCCTTCTTGGTAAATGACCTTCTGAATGGAATGAAGCAGTCTGCTATAACCAGAGGCCATATTACTAAGAGGGAAAATAATATATTATTTAATAAACACATATTATCTACTAAAATAAAAATATATTAATATTTAAAAAATCAGTGAAGGAGATGATAACCTTAAAAAAGAACAAAAATCAAGTGCCACATTCAAGACTAACCAAGCTTATAACAGTATAAATTTTATTTTTTTAAAAATATTAGTACTTAACACCTGCACAGGGTAGCCAACCTCCAGGTGGATATCACCCAGTATCACAACTCTATAGCATTATACCCTGCTGAGGTCCCTCCGCACCCCAAACCCTGCCCTCCCCAGGCTCTACCCCTCAAATCTACAGGTATTTCCCAACCCAGAGTTGGCAACCGTGTAACTGGCTATGGAACTGCTTTCCAGACTCTTGGAACCTAGAAGACATGGCATAGGAGGAGGTGGTTTTCTACCTTAGCTGCCACTGCATAACCCCAAATCAACATAAGTCAGGGGTGGAGGGAACCATAGCTGTTACCATGAGGCTGTCCTCCCGTACTTCCCAAGGGGCAGCAAAATGACTTGACACAGCCCTGCCTTATAGCTACCAGAAGGAAATAAACACGGCTTGCCTCCCTCTATTTTCCCCTTCCCTCTGCCGCCCCACCAGCCACAGCTGGGACACTCACTTGGAGCTTCCTTCTAGAGCTCGTTGTATTTCTTCCCACAATGGCCTAGTTCTACATAAAGTATAGTAAAAATTATTCTACAAAAAAGTTTTTAAAATACTGGCTGTTATTTTGAAACTATGCTACTTTACACTGGCTTGAATTCAGTGCAGTGTTTATATGAATGGATGTATTTCTACCTGTGGGCTGCAGCAGGGGAAGGGAAGAAAGTCATACCCTGCAGGTGTGTCTGGAAATCTCAGATTGTTCCAGCCATACTTGTCTGCACCCCATTCCCCTCCTTTCTCAGCCCTCCTTCTTGCTGCAACTTCCACCTCCTTGAGGTTCAGGCTTCTCTCTCTAGCTGCCAGCTCACCCCCTTCCTGCCGGCTCTAGCTCCACCCCCTGGCTCTGCATCCTCATTCCAGCTGCCAGCTCCACTTTGCCTCCCCTTGAATTCCTCATCCTTCTGGTAGTGAGTTCTGCCACTGCCATGATATGGTGTGTCATTCTGGATTACTATAGTGGCCCCAAATGCTGCCTGAACTCCATTTTTTGAAAAGAGAGGTTATACCCAATTCCTTCCATGTTCGCAGAATCCAGCACTGTAACCATGGCTGGCCCTGTTGCATTGGGTTTTCCTGTTTGCATGGGGGGAGGGGCTGCTAAAAATAGGGATGACTGACTTTTATGAAAACAGCTTTTGGTGTATTCTACAGAAAAATGAAACATTGACGTTTTATCTATTCCGCTGTGAGAAATAAACGGCTACATACAACAGATGCAAATTAGAATACCCAAAACTAAAACCAATTTACTAAGCAAAAAATAGATCTTTGCAGACAAACAATCTTGCTAGTCAATAACATTAACTTTAACGAATATGTATTATTGTTAGCAAGAGCAGTCGTAATATTTTAAGTCTGCAGATGTTGTATTCAGAAAGTCTGTTATTTTCTTTCAGATTTGTTACTAAACACTTTAATCCTGCTAATGTGTTTAAATAATATGTTCCTGTCCTGTTTTAAAACAATCTAGTAACTAATAAAACAGGAGCTGGTAAGAAGGTATCCTAGTTACAACAGAGACTCTGACTTCCATATTGATAGTTTCTGAACATTTAACAAAGGACAGGTTATCAAAAGGTATGACAAATAGGCCTATTATCAGGAAGTAGACTCCATTAGGAAAGACAGTTTAACCTGCTTTGGCAAGATTTATCTTGCTCTATGTACATTTAAGCCCATCTACCTATTTTTAATGTACACACACTTTCAAAGCAGCAAATAGTACAAACACACACAATATTGGTTCTTGAATATTCTTTCTGGCACAATTACTAAAATATTTTGTCTATATATTATAAACTACAACTGGAATACCTGGAAGGAAGCTATAAAAGAATACAACAGATACAAGATAATATGGAACCGATAAATTGCTATTGGCTCTCCCCCACTTTTTGTTAAGAAATGATAGGATTGTTTGCACACCTTTAAGGGAAAAATACTGTACTGTATCTATAGCTTTTATACACCAGAATTGATGAGATAAGCTGCTTTTATATCAGTTGCCTTATGGGTGATGGAAACTGCAGCAAAAATTATGAAGAAAATTATGTTTGTACATCCTGTTCTATTACATGTAAGTCAGTAACTCATTGTATTTGATACAATTCAACAGGTTGATACGATAACCATCTTCAAGTACTTGAAGGGCCGTCATACAGAGGAGAGTATGGAGTTGTTTTATGTTGCCCCAGAAGGTCGGACCAGAACCAAACGGTTGAAATTAAATCAAAAGAGTTTTCAGCTAAACATTAGGAAGAACTTCCTGACAGTTAAAGTGGTTCCTGAGTGGAATAGGCTTCCTCGGGAGGTGGTGGGCTGGGCTCTCCTTCTTTGGAGGTTTTCAAACAGAGGCTAGATGGCCATCTGACAGCAATGCTGATTCTGTGAAGGACGGGTTGCACCAGTGCTTTGGTTTCTGTGGCCCTTTCTTACATGCCCAGGGAAATGCTGATTGCCACTTTGGGGTCAGGAAGCAATTTTTCTTCAGGCCAGTTAGGCCAGGGATCCTGGAGGTCTTTTGGGGGTAGGTATTTGTGAATTTCCTGCATTGTGCAGGGGGTTGGACTAGATGACCCTGTAGGTCCCTTCCAACTCTATGATTTTACGATTCTATGAACAATGCTGTACAACTAACCACAGTTTAGTAATTCCCCAGATAATTTGTCCATATAAGATTAATATGGTAACATTTTATCTGATGTGGTACTACTTTACACTGCAATCGGGTAAATTCTACCTACTCATTTTACTTATGCATTCATATACCTCAGACTGTTCTGAGATAGGAGCTGTTGTATGGGTGAGATTTGGTTTTCAATCATTCTCCCAACATTTCATCTTTTAGAACATCTCTGGTGAGAATTGTTCATATATAGTTTCAACCAAAGCTGCTTGTAAGTCTATATATTTTCTGTGTAGTTTATACAGATGACTTCTAGTGCTGAGCTTGTGGACCTAGAGAACATATGGGCGGGGGGGATGATGACACACACATCTTTTTCCAGAACCATCTTTGGAAGAACAAAAAATGGAAGCAAAAGATGTGGAAAAGACAGCTACCAAAATAAGAAGGATGCAAAATAATATGTAAGATGATCTGACCAGGAATATGAATTGTGACACCCAAATCATACTGCTAACATTACCTTTTGCAATAAGGCAAGTTGAAAGAGGGGGGAAATAATCCATTATGGCTATACTCATTTTCAAATAATGTCAGACCAACATGTGGTTCTGACTGTCAGGAGAAAGGTGGGGTGTACAATTGTACTAAATAAATAAATGATGCATGTTTTAGCCTAGCCAAGGTCACTGTCAGTAAACTACCATTTGTATTCTGGGTATGCTCTGTGTAACCTGCCTGCTGTATGATGGGGGGGGGGGCTAGCCTGCATTTCGCTCCTCCAGTTCTCATCCTCCAAGCGCTTTGCCGTCGTTCCCAATCTAGCCGGTGTGAACCAAATGGCTGACAGCTATCTCCCGCCTTGGTTTTCTCCTGCTCGAATTCCTTCTGAGCGCGAACTGTATTCATTGGCTTACCTTTCCTGTTTGAACTGCCTATATCTGTACATGCTTGGCTTTGAGTTTCATTCCTGACAATGACCATGAAAGTGTCTCAATAGTGACTTGTAATAAGGCAACCTATTCTTATGAATCGTTGTGGACTGCAACTGCTCTATTGAACCTGACCTTCACCTCAAAATGCCACTAATTTTCAATAATCAAAGTGGTGCATAAAAGTCCCATGATTGAGACAGAAACAGCATAGCTCCTTGTTACAAAGTTACCTTAGATTAGAGGTTTGACTCCATAAGAGGCACTCAGGATCCCTGGGGGGCTTGCTTTCGGGCTTGCGACTAGTGCTTCTAACAGTTGAATTTAGGATTGGTGTAAGAGGTGAAGGTGTGTGTGTATGTGCTTGCTTGAGGTTGTGTGGTTTCAAGCTGTTTGGGGTGTGTCTGCGCTGTCAACCTTTTGGTAAGTGCAAAAGAAGCACATGGTCCTGTTGGGAGGGGCTTCTGCTGGAGTGAAGTGAGACTCCTGCCTGCTATTGACTTTTCAGTTTAGAAAAGAGACTTCTAAGACGGGATGTGATAGAGGTTTACAAAATTATGCATGAGGTAGAGTTGACAAAGATAACTTTTTCTTCCTAAAATATTAGAACTCGAGGGCATCCAGTGAAGCTGATGGACTAAGTAGATTCAGGACAGACAAAAGGGAGTACTTCTTTACACAGCAAGTTATTAAAATGTGGAATTCACTGCCAGGGGATGTAATGATGGATACAGGAATAGATGGCTTTAAAAGGGGATTAGACAGATTCATGGAGGATAGGTCTATCAGTGGCTACTAGCTATGGTAACTAAAGGGAATCTCCACAGAAAGTCTCTGAATACCAGTGCTGGCGGGCAACTTCAGGGAGGGCCTTGGCCTCCATGCCCTATTTGACCTCCAGAGGAGCTGTTTGGCCACTATGTGAGACAGGATGTTGGATTTGAGGGACCACTGGTCTGATCCAGCAGAGCTCTTCCTATGTTCTTGCACATTGATGCATCAAATGAACACTACAGCTGAAAAGCAAGCATTAAGGTGCCCAAAACATCTAGGACAGGGATCCCCAACATGGGTTCCATGGTGCCTGCCAATACCTTTCCGGGGGCCTGCCAAGTGTTTTTAGAAAGTGAGTGGGGTAAACATGGCTTTTATCAACAAGAATCCTGACTTGGCAACGGAGATTTGATTGGCTGCACAGATGTTGTAAAAGTTGCTTTGACAGCGGTTGTTACCACAGTACAAGGATCTTCATGGCATATCTGGAATTGTTTGTATGCAAGAATATATTTTAAAACAATATGTTCATTTAAAAGAGCATTCTGTGAAACAGCTTCTGCTTGCTATGTTAAAGAATTACTATTAGAGTTATGCATGACCTTGCTCTCTGACAAGTTCAAGTTCAAGTTTAGTTTACTGTCTTAGCCATTGGCCATAACAACACAAAATAAATCAAAGCACAACCAACAGTATACATCAGTAACTTACAGTAAGTCCTAGACCCAGTCTTATCTTTTTCGCCGCCAGTGCAAACAAAGCCATTCTGCTAGTAACATGTGCATCAATATCAGAGAGCAAGAAAACGGTCAAATCTTGCTCTGAAATTCCATTATACCGAGGTACAATAGGATAAATAAACCTTTGCCTAAGTGATTCGTGCCATGAACATCTCAGAATGTAATGCTCGACATCATCCACTTCACCCATACCACAGAGGCATATTCTGGAGGCGGCAGGGACACACCGAAAGCGGCCAATACAAACCATTGAGGGTATGACGTGGAACCTTAGGGTAGTAAAAGCCCTTCTCAGCTCCAAAGTAGTTAGTTTCTCAAGATATACAGTCCTGCAATGATCTCTTTTAAAGATCTTATACAAGGGGGCTGTACGGCAACTTACCACCACAGGTCGGTTCAAAAGCCCATCCTTATTAAATACCCATTCCTTCAATTTAGACTTTTGGTTTTCATTTATCAATAAGTCGTCGGGGATTGAGTATTTCAATAAAATAGAATTCAAGTGATCATCTAATCTTTTTGCGGATTTCAACAGCAATCCAAAACTTTGTACACCTAGAATATCCTGAGGTCGTTCTAAACATTTCCTCCAATACGAGAGGATTCTTACATTTGCCCTGGCTTTCAGGGATACCATACCCAGTTCAGCCCTCATCTCTGACATTTTGTGGTTGGCTCCATTTCCTGTGGCAGCCATTTTGTGTTTGGCTCCTTTTTCTGCTGCAGTCATTTTGTGATTGTGCTCACCACCCTGTGTCAGAATTATAAAGGTGTCTGCAGGCTTTAAAAGGCTAGTACCCCTCATCTAGGAGCTGGAGCAAACAATAAAAAACATAAACAACAGTTGACCACCAGCTACTGATCCACCACCTCGTCGACGTGGGGATACAGGGACTGGCCTTACAATGGCTTGCCTCTTTTCTCCAGGGTTGGGGACAAAGGGTGGCGCTAGGGGAACAGCAGGGGAACAGCTTGAATGCAGTGTGCCTCAGGGGGCAGTGCTTTCCCCAATGTTGTTTAACATCTACATGCACCCCCTTGCCCAGATTGCCCGGAGGTATGGGCTGGGGTGTCACCAGTATGCTGATGACACCCAGCTCTAACTGATATTGGGTGGCCGGTCGGACTCCAGCCCAGAAGATCTGGACCGGGCATTGCAAGCCGTGGCTGGTTGGCTCAGACTGAGCGGGCTGAAACGAAATCTGGCGAAGATGGAGGTCCTGTGCCTGAGTCGGGGTGGGTTGGGGAGGGGGATCCTGCTCCTGACCTTCGACGGGGCGCCATCGGTGCCATCGCCGGAGGTTAGGAGTCTGGGAGTGGTCCTAGAGCCCTCCTTAACAATGGAGGCCCAGGTAGCAGCCACTGCTAAGTCGGCCTTTTACCATCTTCGGCTGATTCGGCAGTTGGTTCCCTTCCGCGACCACAACGACCTGGCTACAGTGATCCATGCGACGGTCACCTCAAGATTAGACTACTGTAACGCTCTCTACAAGGGGCTGCCCTTATTGCAAATTTGGAAGCTGCAGTTAGTGCAGAATGCTGTGGCTAGGCTTTTGATGGGTTTCCCTAGATGGGAGCACATCTAGCCAGTGCTGAGGGCGCTGCACTGGCTGCCAAAAGCATACCGAATTCGCTTTAATACTTACCTTTAAAGCCCTATATGGCCAGGGTCCAACATACCTGAGGGACCACCTTTCCCCACATATACCCCAGAGAGCACTACGGTCGGGGTCAAAACATTGTTTGTCTATCCCAGGCCCTAAAGAGGCCAGGCTCGCCATTACTAGGGCCAGGGCTTTTTCGGTGGTGGCTCCTCTCTGGTGAAATGAGCTCCCAGAGGAGATCAGGGCCCTGCAAGACCTTGTACAGTTCCGCAGGGCCTGCAAGACGGAGGTCTTCCACCAGGCCTTCAATTAGGAGCTACCATCACTACCACCACCACCTCTACCAACTATTAGTATTATTAACATCTATGGCGGTGGTCTGGCCCGTATGAAGATTGAGCCACTGAGCAGGGGAAGGCCGAACACCGCTGGTTTTGGTTGTTAATGCTTCATCTTATAGCACACCATCTGGAATGTAGTGAAGGAACGATCTATGCTACTAGCACTTTAAACTGATTAACTGTGAATTTGTTATTGTTTATTGTTAGTGAATGACTATTTTAAATTGTTTTAAATGTTTTATGTGGATTTGGCGCATGGTGCTGTTACTGTGAGCCGCCCTGAGCCCGTTCTCGGGGAAGGCGGGATACAAATATAATAAATAAATAAATAAGTAAAATGCCTCTTCTTTGGAAAAAAAATCAAGTTTATAGATTATTATGCATCCAAAAACATTTAAGTGTTCATAATGAAGTATACCCCATGCATAGTTGACATGGGATTGGGGATGGGGGACGACGACAATCCTTGCTCATAAAATTTTTATCTGCTTTATCAAAAAAATGGTATGACCATTGTTCACTATTAATGAGTGCCTATGGGTCCTCTATATTATAGCAAGGTCAACGACCAGGAAAAAAAAATAAAGCCACAATATTATAGCTCTGTGCCATGCTAATTTCACAAACTCATTTGTACTTCCACATTCAAACTGAACCATGAAAACTTACAGGCCACTTCAGTATAACTCTTTGTAACAACATTACCTACTGATTGCAGTGGGGATACACAGTCTCACTAATCTAAAAGTTATTTTTAAGCCTCGATTGACTACAAACACTCTTTTGTATAGCAGGCAAGACAAAGCGGTGTCCCTAGAACTTGTCCACATATTTTTCTATTGTTTCCCAAGTGATAACTCTCAGTTCTTGTTTCTCACTGCCTATTACCATTGCTGGTTTGATTCTACCATCCTTTTCAACGATTCATTAGTCACAGTCAATTGCTCAAGCCCTGGCTTGGAAACGTAACATGGTGTTGTCCTGGCTATGACTTCTGAATACTTTTGTTGTAATGCAAATGTAATGTAATGTAAATGTTGTTTAATTTAAATAAAGTATATTCATATTTCTGCTTCCCACAGTTATGAGCAAATATGAACCAGAGAAAACTATTCTGCTGAAATACAAAGCAGCTATAAATAATGGCAGTACACCAAAAGCTATATAGATTATTTACTTTACTTTCTGCTCTCTCCAGTTTCTGAAATCGGTGCTTATCATTTTACTATTTTTTTCAGATAGCCAATATCAAATCAGCCCTTTGGTTCCATAATTTTTCTGTCTAGTACCAGAAGCTGTGTGGAAACTTAATGTAGTAGAACATTTTTTATGTACAAGTTTGCAACCAGAAGGAGAAGGTATTTGATTCTAAGTAATCTACAAAACTAGAATCTCTCCATTACAATCCTTGGCAGTGTGACAGCCCACCCCCAGCTAACAGGCTAAGATTTTCTGCATGGAAGACAGTATTCTTTGGCATAAATAGTCACATCAGAATAGCTAAAGTAAACAGAGTTAATTTTCTACTGTGGGTTGGAAATAAAGCAATTCAGAGCTAATACAAATGTTTGGTTTAAAATGAAATAGCTGAGATTGACAGGTCCTTACGTACATTGAGTTCACTCCAGTAATCGCTTCTGACCATCTTGTCATCATGGTTAGTCAGGCTGGCTTTGACCAGCACTGGTTTTTTGCTATGACCAAGTATAAAGAAAACACTCGCCTAGGATCCATTAGAAGCTTAGCACCATATTTGAGCCTGAACATTTACTTAGATCAGCGTCCTTTCTGAATGTATTATCTTTCATGACTTGTTGTAAAGCACTTTATGAACAAGAGAACTTTTGTACTACGCTAACATTTCCTGAGGAAGATCCAATTTTGAAACATTGTTATATAATCCGGAACCGACATTGATGATGTACCTTTGCACTAGGATTTTCTTATGATTTGTAGGAATTGATTGATTGCATTGTAGTGCTTCCAACTGTAAAGTAAGCATTTTCTTTGCAAGTCTTGTTGACTGCTTGATTTGTGGGTCAGACTCTCATGACTGTTTTCTTTATACTTGTTCTCTGATTACGTCATGTTTGTCCACATTTGTCTTTTTCCTATGACCCTCATTTTGAAACAGCCTTCCTGAAGTTATATGCCAGATTACCCCCTCACACACCCTTTTAGCTTACAGAAAAACTTGCAATACTTTGCTATTCCAAAGGGCTTTCTACTGATGGATTTGCAAATATTTATGGTTAAGTCAAAGTTGAAGAGAATGGTTTCAGTTATTTGATGGCGTTATTGCAGATTCTAAGTTTAAATCGCTGTTTAGGGTCTTTTCACACCATAGGCCAGATATAAATATTTTAAATGAATAAATACAATTGGATATAAAATATGCTATTTTCATACAGAAGGTTGTTTTACATCTTTCACCAGAACAATGTACAAGTAAAATGAAACTAAATCCGAATGTGTCCTTCTATATGTACAAGAGGTTGCATAAGAGCATGTACAAGAGACTACATGAACTGTTAAAGAACATATAGCACTGTATAAACAAGTATTTGTAGAACACTATTAGCAGCTGTCTTCCTTTTGCAGTTTTTTGTATTCACAAAAGCAGTAAAAGGTCTCAAAATTTTATGCCTGTGCAATTTACGCTGCTAAATCTCCATCTCCATTGTGCAAACAACTGAAATAATTGAGTCCGCAAACTTACCAAGAGTTCATATCAGGACACAAAGCTGTTTCTTCGGAAAGGAAAAAACCATGGCACCCAATGTTCTGGATAAGTTCTGAAGCCAAAGGTTTTGACAGATCAAAGTAGTGTCCAAATTTTGAAGAGGTATTTTGAGTCACCTATGAAAACATATAGGTCAAGGAGTACGTTTCCTTATTAAAATGCAATTTTAATAAACTGTAGAATCTTTTTGGAAATCTGAGATGTTGTAAACAAATATATGGTAAACATCAAAAATTTCCATAAATTGATTTTTAGCAAGGAATTCAGACAATAGCTGCATACTAGTTCAACTGGAGTCAGGGGACTACACCGATGAAAGTCACCCATTCTGGCCTCCAAGCTCTGTTGCTGGGCCTCCAGAGTAACTGGTTGGTCACTGTGTGAGAAAGGATGCTGGACTAGATTAAACACTGGTATGATTCAACTGGGCTCCTCTTAAGTTCCTTTTGAAACTAGACCAAATGCTGGGATTCTGTTCAATATATTTGCCACACCAAGGTAAACAGTAACTCCCTGGGGCCATTTCTGGTTGGGGGAAAAAAAAACAAGTGTGGGGGCTTCAATACCCCCCTTCATATGTATGATTTGACAACTGAATTTGAAAAACACCAGGAGCTCTGTTCACAGACCCTCTCAGCATCATGTTTAGTTTGGTCCTCGTATACATTGGTGTGGGACCTGTTTCCCCATTTTGTGATCCCTCATAATTTAGGAGTGCTGATCAGGTGAGATTGGAACAGTTTAACATGGTTGTTTAATTTATACATGTGCAGTGGCATGGGAATGCAGCCACACTGTTCAGTATGAAATAAAGAAGAAAAGTAGACCCAGGTTACTTAGACAATTCACTTTTTAAAAATAGGATATGATGGTGCGGTCGAATGGCAGATCTTCTATTGCTATTATATTCCTATACTTCCTGTATTCTGTCATGATGACAATATGTATTTAATTATTAAATTTATATCCCATCCTTCTTCTGTGGAATCTTTCTGTCATCATGTTTGGCATCAAAAGGCTAGTTGCAGCAGGGGATCTGAAGCTGACTCCCAACCTCAGAGTCCCCTGGGAGTCAGCTTTTGACCTCATTCTGGGGAAACTTCACTGGTTTCCACTGTTGTTTAAACCCACAGAGGTTTGGGGAAAGGAGAGGATCAGAAGCCAACTCACAGCTGACAGTCGGCTTCTAGAATCCCAGACCTGGAAACTGTGCTATCTATCCTGGAACACACAAAAGTGGATTTGGGGTGGGGGAATCAGAAATTGATTCACAGTTTATTAGGGTAAAGAGTCTGCTTCTGATCTCCCCCTCATTGTGTTTTAGGAAGGCTGAGATTCAGCCAAATTAGAGATTGGCTTCAGATCTCTAACATAGCTGTGTTTCAGCATTCAGTGATGTGGTGGCAGCAGGGGGTAGATTGGAGACACGCTCCAACCTGAGCTGAGAGTGAGTTTCTGATTCACCCTCTGTGAAGGATGGAGATTTGGAATTATACATAAATAGCATAGCATGATATGGAGTTTATTTGTTGTTGTCACTATCCTCTTTTCTAACTAAATCTAAATGTAGGTGTACTGGTATATGTGAACAAACCTTCAAAAGTTTGTTTAATGACCTCACAGGCTATCAAACATGTACTGGAGTAAGTGTTTGTATCCCCTCCAGTATTGTCTTGGTTATGTTTTGGGAAAATATTGTTTCTGCCACATATCCAGACATAAATCAACTGTTAGGCACAATTTACAAGTGAAATTTCTTCTTCCTCTGGTACGGACTGAAAGATTGTTTTGCAAAGAGGTTTGAAACTATTTACAATTGTATCACACAGCTTATGCTGTGTTAAACAATAGAGTTACAAGTTATGAGTTTAGAGGAAGAGAGCAAATATCAAACAAGATTATGGACTTTTACTGTAACCCTGAAATGATAAGTTCTCCTGGTTCACTCTTCAGGAGCCACACATTTCCCACATCTGCAGTTAGGACTCCTAGAGACCTTTTAGCAGACACCTGGTCTGATCCTTGAGTTTTTTCACAAACAGACAACCACACTTTATTAGCCTGCCTCCTTAGAAGCCTGATGCTGAGACATCAGATTTTCTCAACTAGCATCTCTGGCAGTCAGGGGTCATTTCCTGCAGGAGCGCACAGGAGCGGAGCTCCGGCAGTAAAGAGCCCAAGGGGCGGGCACATGCAACAAGCCCCTCCCCCTGCTCCCAGCCACCCCCGGCCACAAGGAGCAAGAAGCAGCCAGGTAAGTTGCAGAGGCCCCCCCATAGCAATCCAAAACAGTCCAGTGGCACCTTTAAGGCCAAGGTTTATTCAGGTACAAGCTCTCCCTCCTCTGTGAGGGCAGATCTGTGCACTTCCCCCCTCCCCATAGCTAGCAATCCAAAACAGTCCAGTGGAGCCTGAGCGGTGGGTGTTGCCTTCTGACACACTTCCGGTGATGTCAGGGGATGTGGCGTATGCAAATAAGTTCTGCTAATGAGTTATGCTAATGAGCTCCTGCACCTCTTTTTCTACAAAATGACCCCTGCTGGCAGTTAATCCCATCAGACTGAAAATAGCAGTTTAAAAGATTTTGGCATCTTCCAGACAGCCTTAATGTTCCAGATTCATTTCCCTTTGTTATAATTTCCTGCCCCTTGTATCCAAACAGGTCTCTTTGGGGCTGAGTCCATTAGAGCAGATAGAACTCTTAACTGAGGTCTGGAGAAGGCAGCCATTAGCCATGTGGTGGCCTGGTCAGCTGAAAGAAGCTTCAAGGAAATCGCAATTCTGGAGAGATCTGTAACTTCCTAAGCTAAGGAGCCTGTCCTATATTTTAACATCTGACAGGGCACGTATAGAGAGAGGGACAGAGGAACTGTGTTTAACCTATTTCTTTTGAATCCCTTGCTTAGTCTGGTGCTATGCTAAAAGTATGCTTGTGAACATTTTCTTTTTAATACATACTTTATAATTTTTGATGCTGGCAGTGGTTCTCTATACCACATAGATCTCCACTGTGTTGGACATGCTATTTTAAAAGGAACACCAGGGGGAGGCAGTCAGTTGGCAAGTGGCTATTCCTCTAGGGGTGCACAAGGCAGTAAATGGTCCCTGTGGTGACCAGGCACTGGGCAGCAGGAGACACAGAAGCAAGGCCTCAGAACTTGGAAGGGAAGCTGGGAGTCCTGACCCTCTCAGCAGGCAATTCTTACAAAGGTCAGGTTGTAGTGGTGGGTTACCAGACAGAGGTAAAAGCCTCTCCAGGTGTTGGAAAAACCTTGGAGAGCAGAGTTGAACAGGGCCTGCAGGCTGGAGCAGGCTCGTTCCACCACAGTGCCAGACTGGGCACCACTGCATGTCTTCTAGCAGAGGACAGTCTCCAGAGTGTAGGGATGTGTGATTTGTGGTGGTCCAAAGATTGTTTTGGGTTGCAGCTTCACCCCAGGTCTGCATGTGCATTTGTGCTGAGGGCACCCCACTTTGGAGCAGTTGGAACAAGAACTGGGCTTTTGAAAAGAGAACAGCATAATTCCCCTTGGAGGGCAGAGTCTACTGAATGTGGGGATGTATGATTTGTGGTATTCCAAACCACATTTTGGGGTTCAGAGCTTTTGAATTGTCTTCAATGGAGTCACAAATAAGGAATGAGGAAATGCATATAAGGAACCGGGAACCAGCTCAAGCCTCTTGCAGTCTAGCCAGTTTGTGCAGCATTCCCAGCAGCAGTACCCATGGGAAGAATAACCCCAATAGCTTAAACTGGAGAGGGAAAGTCTTCTCTCATCACAGCAGTGGTGGCAGCTCCTGGGGCAACACTAACTTTCATGGGGAAGGTTTTTTCCTCCTATTCCTGGCAATGATGGCGGAGGCCAGAACCAGAACAACTTAGCTAGCTCTTTTGAAGGAGAGATCATACAGATGCCAGGCAAGTCAGAAGCTATAATATTTGACATTCAAAAATGTGCTGTTCAGCATGCCATTGTCTGAATAATTTCTTTAAAAAAATGGTACAACAGTCTGAAGCTAAATGATCTAACAATACAAGATTAAGTATTGGCAAACAATTTTTGTTTATGCCAGAAGTAAATGTAGCCCCCAGAATTTCAGAAAGAAACATCTGAAAACATTCCAACATGAAAACTGTAATATTGTCTACTAATAATTTTCTGTAAGATGTTTTAATTTAAGGCATACCTTACTTGCTAGATGTGTCTAACTGATCTAATTCCAAGTTTTTGAATGAGAAATGTTAAATTTTTTAGTTTCTTTTTATAAATAAAGTTTTATTCAATAAAAAGGAGAAATGTTATAAATTTTGACTTTTGTCAAGTGTTCCTATTTGTTGTGAATTTAAAAAGTAAAACTGATGTGAAGCATAAAATATAGAAAATTATCACTGTCATGATTCATTTGTTTGAAAAAAGTTGAATTTTTGCCACTAATAAACTTTTTGAAATAAAAAACAACACACTAGAATTTAATTTCAGAACTGCTACTAAAACCAGTTTTTTCAAATACTTTACACTATGAAATACACAATACTTCTCAATTATTTTAAAATATTAAAAGATTACATTATCTTATATGCTACATTATATAATCATGATAGAACAAGATCTTAACACCAAATCAAATAAATATGTATTACTGCTTTTAAAAAAACCAAAAGTTCCAAGTTCTTTAGTCTGGGGGGTTCTCAAAGCAATTTAAACAAGGGCTGTTCTTTGCCCTATAATCTATCCTTTATCCGGATTACTGATCAGAATGTTTTTACTGCAATCTCTGCCAGAGCTCATCTTTTTATTGTGTAGGTCCAAGCCCCCTTAATGTTTTAGAAAGGCCCTGACTAAATGAACTTTGATCTGATGTCTTCATTGAGAAAAGCTCCGGGTTTCCCATTTCAGATGCAAATCCTCACTGAAGCCCAAGAGAGTTTAGTAAAGACTGCAAAAGAGAAGAAACAAGAAGTTTCCAGGATCCTCTTTGAGAATCCTGGGGAACACTGGTGTCCCTAATCCACCCAGATGCATGGATTAAGGTAGGTGATAACCTTTCTTGATTCTAAAGAATAAACACAGTGCCTACAAACTGGGTGGAGACTAGGATTTGGCAGCAATAAAAC